TATTTAAATTTTTATTTTCATATAATATATCACTTGTATCCATATTATTTCTCTGTTTAAGAGTTGAGTTGAGTTTCTTTTGTTACAAATATTAAACTGTATTAAATATTCATAGCAACATTATTTTTAATTAAAACAAGTTCTCCCATTCGCATTTTCAAAATGTTGCTTTTATTCAAAACGCATTAATAAAATCTTATATGAATTCTATTTGGCAGACCGCGAAGCTCGAGCGCGTTCGAGCTATGAAAACATGATAATTGCTCTAATTGGAATAATTTATTTGGCATTCAGTGAAATCTTCAAGTTTTGTTTAGAAGGAGAGGAAAATGATTTGATTCGTATTTCAAAAAATTCCAATTGGAATAATTTGTTGCTTGGCTGTGGCGTAGAGGGAAAACAAAAATTTTAGTTTAACTCTGTTTATGATCAATATAATTTTAATAGGGTTTACTTTACATATGAATTTAGTTAGTGTATTCGGTGCGTCGACTTCAGCTGCTTTAGACGTGTTTCGTGTGTGTAGTCGTAATTTTTATTACGCTTTGTTTATTTCATGTTGTTTTTTTTTTTCAATTATTTTTTTTTTGCATAATGTATTTTTATTTATTTGCCTCTCACGTTTTGATGTTGTATTTGTTGCAAATATTTGTTGTTGTTGTTTGTGTTGATTATTTCCCTTTTTGCATTTATTGCATTTGCCGCTGCATGAGAAATTCTATGGAATTTATTTTTTGGGCAGCTCGACTTGGCAGGAACCCCCACCCTTCCAAAAAAGTTGATTCACATATTGTTACAGCCCCGCCCCGTCCCGTACCACCATCTCACGTTCTACAGTATATCCCCACAGAGAGACAATTATTTTTGCATACAAACAAGTTGGCAGAGTTTTTTTTTTTTTGGAGAACCGGTTTCTGATTTTTATGCTGTCGTTAATTTCCTGAGTCCCCGCTACCCCTCGCCTCCTGCCGGCAGGGGGCCTCGTCATCAGCGTCGCGCAGCATTTATCAGCATTTAATTGGTTAATCATTAGTCAAATATTTTTGTAAGCTCGCCCGGGCTGGCGCTCATGTTCATGTTCGCGTTCGAGTTCGAGCTGGGTTCTGTGTGCTCTGCTCACCTTTTTACATAATTATAGGTGGGCTGCGCCTCTTGAAAGCCAACGGCTGAGCACCAAGCACCAAGCACCAAGCACCAAGCGCCCAGCGCCTTCTTTTTCCCTCATTTTCTAAATTTGTTTTTATCGCAACGAAAAAAAAATGAATAAATAAAATAAAATAAAGCGAAGCTTGGGCTTCATACACAAATAAAGGGCCGGATATTACGAGCAGCATTTGGAGAATTGTTACAAAAATAAAAAATACAAAAATTACTTATCGCAGATTGCATGAAAGTTCGACTTATTTTGTTTATGGCAAAACTAATGTCACGTAGCCAACCTTGGGCTTAGCTCTTTATGGCAAATGCTTTCTGCTCATGTCTAACTATAAATAGATACGAAAACTCATACTAAAAGTAGCTCTAGGAATCATATGTATATATCTAGAAAATAGAAATTGAAACCGTTTGTTGAGGCAGTAGTTTTGGTAGAGTTATCTAAAATTTGGTCACGCGCTGTTAGAGCTATAAGAAAATATATACATTCATATATATATATATAAGTAGACTTTTCGATATGTGTTATATTTGCAAGCTGAACCAAGCAGTTTCAGACAGCTACGAATTATAATGGCTATGCAAATTGAATATGATTTAATTTAAAGAAAACATCTCTAGATGTTGTCATAAGATGGCAAAAGAAAAGTTTATCAAAGTTCAAGGCTCAAATTGTTTATTAAATTATGTATTTTGATAAACTTGTTATAGATATTAAGAAATTGACTAACAATTGAATCGGAGCCCATTACCGCTAGACTACGATATATTACATATT